ATTTTCGGCACGGAGAGCCCAGTGGAGAAGACGAGTGAGCCGGGGTTCGTCTCAACTCCTCAATGGACAACTCCGGTGAGCTCGGAGGAGCCGATCATGGATCGAGAGTAAGGGGTTACAACGCACTATGGGCTCCGTTTCATCGTTACAAGTGCCTGTCGCTGAGTCATTAGTTCTTTATAGGCCCGTGCCGAACGTCCAGGATCAAGAGGAAGCTCGCAACGACACCAATAGCTTGCACCAAGATCTCAGAACGATCATTGCACTATTGGTTGTCGTGGTGACCATCCTTTTTCTGCTGGTCATCACCGTGGCATGGAGATCCATGACTCAGCACTGGCAGTATGGCAATCTCAAAGGAATGGGGAAAGGGTGCCAGACACAGGATGATGAAGGGTGAGGTCTCTCACTGGCTTATCGATTCATTGGGAATTTCTTTCAGGAGATCTGATGACGCTGGACAGCTGTCCGAGGCCACAGTATGAGCCGCCTCGGAATGTCATGGAGCGCAATCTACTCTGGACAATCTTGACATATCAATGATATGATATTATGACGTGGATGTTAACTGATGGGAGTTGGGTTCTAGTGATGCACGTCGCTGATTCAGCGATCACAGAGTATAGGTGTCGGACAGTCCGGCTCGGTCTTGGACACGAACAGGCAATAAACACATATGCAATAAACTGTTCTTGAACAACGAGTCCAACGGCCGAACTCGAACGGAAATATAGGGGCTGTTCAAAGGAGAACACCGAACAGGCCCCTGGGACTTCAGCTCCTCGAAAAAGGGTTTTGAAATGTCCTCTTGGAATTGCGCCCAATTGGCGCGGTCATGGAACATGTACGAGAATCAGCACGAAATACGTTCAATCATCAGGACCTACGCTCTGCAAAGCCCATCTTCAGCGAGCTCCATGCATCGTTTATCCCGACATGCTGGCATCATCTCAGCAACAGACGCTTGGTGCAGTATCGAGAGCCGACTCCTTTCCCCCAGAACAGAAATCTAATAGACGCTGGGGATAGGAGAGGTATTGGCCAAGCGTTGAACCCGAAGCCCGAAAGCCGAGGTCTGGGTGTTGACATTATTAACCAGAGGAGGAACTGGCAAACTAATACAAATAAACTACCCAACCATTAGTCGCAGAGTCGAGTGCCTCACATCTATGTAGTCTCCACAACTTCAAGGGTAATAAGGAAAATTTTTCCTGGAAAAATCGTACCGCTGGATTGCCTCCACAACCCTACAGTTATTCAGAGACGCTGGATCAGCGCTCGCGGTCAGTCTACACTTCGCTGGACACTGCGATTTCGCCTTCACTACATACGGTGGTACAATCTCCAGCTAGGGAATTTCCCCGGCAAAGAATCATAGAATCATACCGTCCTTCTCATGGAAAAAACTGACATCCAGACACCAGAAAGGATGGTATTGAGTCATTGACTCACTAATAGTGACTCACTATAGTGTTGACAACCCTATTGACTGGTGCCGGGCCGGCATTGCCTTCGGCATTCCCGACGCGCGCACGTGCTATACGAGCACGCATGCGCTCCATGTTCCTAGTAGAAAGCGAGAACTCCATCTGGGGGAGTTTCGAAAGCGACCGCCAAGGTTGAGATCGAAAGGCGCAGGTTCGATCCCCAGGCCCAGCATTATGAGTGCAGATTCAACTGTTTAATTGTGCCACAATGTCCTATGGCTAGTAACTTTCAAGATGCGTTATTTCCTTCAAGATAGACTATTCGCGTTCAGCTGTCTACGAACCGTCTCATTTTACAATGACCGAATCAAACAACAGTAATCTAGCTCCTGACTCGAACATATCAGTTCCAGTTGTGGAAGATGGTAGTGGCAAGCCCACTGTGCAGAGCACGACGGAGGTCTCGTCGCCAGTGAAACCTGATGCCAAATCTGATGCAAAATCTGGGAGTACGGCGACTGGCGCTGTCGAAGCCGCTTCCACGGAGGTGAAAGACGAGGTGTCGAATGAAGGAGATCATAGGCGTGAGCAGCGTCCACGAGTGAGTCTGGTCATTCCTGACGCGACTGGTGGCTCTGATGTGTCGACTCACAAGACGTTGAAGCATCCCAACCGTCTCATGCCCAAAGGTAGTGGCGTTTATTATATCGTTCATCATCTGATAGTTTTCCCTCAGGTCTCTCTACGCTAGGCGATGAGATGCCTCAATACACCAGGAGCGTAACCACAGCTAGTGGCTCACAGAGTAGGTGGAATGCTACTAAGAGGGGATGGAATGCTAGGAAGGTAGTCCATGTTGGAGATTGGCGTCCGTGTGGTCACTTTGGTGTTCTTAGGATCGCTCCAAAATTCTCGGCCGAGCAATGACTCATCAGGTCGGCTCTAACTACGACAGAGAGCTCCATTGGCTTAAGCCGTAATGATGCCTGCCTGTCGGTTGCTCGATCGGAGTGGTGGTGCAGGTATTATCCTTCTGGAAAGGGCGAAAACGACATTGAGGAGGAGGAGAGTTGGATCCCTGATTGGGTTATGTATTTCCCATCTATGTTCTCAAGGTACATTCACTTGAAAGTTCCTCCTCTTCAGTCGATGCCCGCTTGCTTATTAGTTTCTTGCACGTCATAGTGAACGAGTTCCCATGGTTGATGCACGAGGCAGGCATTCTGCTGAAGTTTTTCGGCACTGGCTTCCAGGCGTAGTCGCTCCGCTTCGCTCAATACATGTTTTGCCACGTTTGAGTTCAGGTATATCATGTTCATGCGTCTCATCGTCTTTGCCATCCTCATCATGCCAGCTGTGGTGAAGGTTGGTAGCTGGTGGACACTTAGTCCTAATGTAATTTCAACTGTGAATCTTTCGTAGTGCGTAGGAGCTACTACCATCTCAGGTGCTCCGTGGAATACGGTATGGGCCAAATGGTCGTAACCAGTTGGATATCTATCTCCCAGCTGATTACTACTTGGACCCTCCAGAGAAGCGTCGTCAGAAAAAGCTCCCCATTGTTATCAATGTGATGGGCGGTGCTTGGGTGATCGGGTAAGTATCCTTTTCCCTGCTAAAGTCTCATTCTATGGTGATAGGTTCCGCGCATGGTCGGCGTGTATGGGCCGACGTCTTGCCTTTGAGAGAGGCGCCCTCTTTGTGGCCCCCGACTATCGGAATTTCCCACAGGGCAAGATAGATGACATGGTCGAAGATGTCAACAACTGCATAAAGTAGTATCAGCATAGTTCATTTGGATGGCTTATCCCTTGCTCTCAGTTGGGTGTTCGAAAATGCCGATCGTTATGGTGGTGACATTTCCAATGTGATTCTCACAGGCCAGAGTGCTGGAGCTCACATTGTGGCGATGGTGAGCGATCTGTCAGTACTAAGGCGTGTCGATTGATGCCGTTGTTTCCAGTTGCTTATCAACAAGGCGATCAAGGAGGAGAAAGTAAGGAAGCGCTGTCGAGGAGGAGGGGGTATCACTTTATCAGGCTGCTATCAAGAACGTGGAACTGAACCAGATGTGGTCACTGAGCAATATTCGGGCGTTCGTAGGGATATCTGGACCCTACGACATGGTGTCTATCGTTCCACATCTCAACAGTCGAGGACTGTAATGAGCTGGATCTTCTTTGTGGAGTTTAGGTTCTACTGTTGCTGCTCAGATACTCGAACGTTGTGATGGCTATGATGGGCAATGATTTGTTCCGAGTCTCCCCGACTAGAATTCTCTCCGAGTCCACTGGCAGGAGCAAAGCGGCTATGCACAGGCTTCCTGAAATATACCTGTTCCACGGTAGTAACGGTAGTTGTGATAGTTCACCATGGTAAGTGGATGGATGTTGAATTGGTGTTGGTGTAGGTGATTCTGACGTTACTGTGCCTATTGAGTCCTCCGTCCAATTCAAGAAGGCTCTGCAGTATTGCGGTGTCCAGTAACACAAGCAGTTGGTAGATAAATGTCGCACTGGCTCTCCTCCGTGTCAGGCACGTAACCTTCAAAGTCTTACCAGGCTGTGGTCATTCTGATCCTATTGTCGAGTGTCCTATCCGAGGAGGCAAAGACCCTCTTATTGAACAGGTAATACTTATAGGTTTCTTGAGATTATGAAAAACGTCATCTCAGTTGGTGCCAATTGTCTTCGCGAAGTCGCCTTTGTTACTAGAGAGTCGTGTGGGACAAGCACTCCCGATGATGAACACGACCATTTTGGCTATCGCGAGTGCTATCATGCCCTTTTAACTCCCACCATTTGTTATCTTCTCATTGGACCTATACAGTATAGGCTATACTTGCCTTTAGTATTGTGTCCGATAATAGGGTTTCCTCGGCGAAGTGTAATATCGTCTCTGGTATGGCTTGTGTTGAGGAGGAAGTTAGTTCACTTGGCGTTTCGGAGTGGTGTAGATGCTCATGATCCAACAGCAAGGAGTCGTGCTCGACAATGATAACATGTCGTCACTGATTCCAACGTGTCTCTATGATGGGAATAAGTTGAAGGCCGGCCGTACAGGAAGAGGGATCGAACACAGCCCGGTGGGGACTTGCCTTTTCCTTCTTATTGCTACGGTTGTGGCCGACTTCAGTATCGCTATGACGACTGATAATATCAGAATCATTCGTGAGACTATCATGTGGCCTCGTTGAAACAGTCTTGGTCATTGTGCTCGTGAACAGTTGAGTTGGGGGAAGTTGAATATTCCTAATGTGAGAGCCTAGGCTTGTCATTGTCATGGTTAACTGAAGTTTATCATTATCTGTATCATAGTAGCTACACATAAGTCATTCTGGTGCAGTACTATTCACCAGTAGTAAGAGTCCCGGGGTCCGCTTGAGAGCCTTTTTTTGGAGGTACACAACATGGTAGATTCTCTTCATATTCACTACGCACTCTAGGAAGATTTACAGAACATTGCCGTTGTTCACGTGCGAATATTTCCCCCAGTTTGCTTCTACAACGTCAGAGGAGAGGACGGCCTTTGCAGTGGGTCCACTGTTGTATCGAGGCCGATGAAGTAACGCCGGAAGGCAGATAACGTACCAAGTGTCGCCTTCGATGAGACCTCACGTCGATTTCTGATGCCACCCTTTAGTCTGTCTTCTCTATAGGGGAGGTACCTGCCACACGGATATTGCTCATTGTGAGATTCGCGCTAGCCAAAGTTTCACTAGGAGGTGTGTTGATCATCGGCCAGGTGCACAGGTCCACAGGAGTGTGGATGCAAAGGATAATCTTAGTTTGGTTGTTACAGGCCATGTTCTTCTACACTGCAACGGTTTCACTGTTAGGCGAGCGAGTATATATACGAATCTTTACAGTGAGAAATGGCGAGGAC